ATTTGGAATGCAAATTGAATCCCTGAGGATAGATCTGAAATGTTGTCACATTTTATGATCATATCTTTCGAATCTAGCATGATAAAGTCAGCAAAATCAATCATTCTCCTTACTTTACTCTAATATAAAGGACCAATAAATAACTAAATGCGATATGTACAAATTGTAAAATTCAGTTACAAGATAACAAACAATACGAGCAACAAAACTGCTTTGAACTTGAATAGAACCAGATTAAGTAGCAGAACAAATCAGCACGAAACCTTTTCGCTCGTACGCGGATGATTCGGATGATAGAAGTAAGCAGCACCAGAGATATGACCACANACGATACTGTTGGAATAAACCAATACTTGAATGTCCAGAAAAAGTCATCAATTGAATCCTGTTGAATAAGACGCATGGTGATTCCTATTGTCAACGATAACGAAACAATAGTTGAAATTATTATGAGATTATTATCAAATATTTTAATTGAGATTGTTATCAAAACAAATATTGAATAAGGAATTGAACGAAAACGAGAGAGACCTTCTCAATTTGTTCGAATTTCCAATTGAAGAAACTTTCAATGGGATGCGCACCGACTTTTCTTTTCACGTCCTCAACACTCTCGCCTTTATTCCAATGACTCAACAACCATGCTTTGAAAGTTTTTCCAAAAAACGACGGTGTATTCAGCACAAGAACGGCCAACGTATTATCTGGGTAGTTAAGACGTACACCCTCTTGAACCACTGCATTATAAGGCCCCACCTAGAAATATTCATTGCATCAATATGACGCACTCAAATCATTCAACTCGGCTCGATAACAAAGGAATTTCTCACGAATTTCTTCCATAACCGACTTCATCGTAGAGGATTTGACTGATTACATAAGCGATTCATCAGCACTGACTATAATCTCACGAATAGATCACTGCGTTGTTGTAAATGAATGAATTCATTCAGTCATATCATTAGAGGAACAATTTTTTGAATTGGATTGGAAGAATCTTTAAGCTTTACAAACGTGAATAAAACCAAACAAACAAGCGACTACGAGCGAAACGAAACAAACTCTGAAACGATGCCACTCAAAGCCATCTTCTTCATTTAGCTCTCTATTGAGTATTTGATAAACTTTGTCCGCCTCATCTCGTCC